ATGACAACCCCCCCTCTAATTTGACAGCAGACAAGCAGTATTATGGGTAGTTATATTACTTGCAATTAATGTTTTGTACTAATGAGAAGAACCTGTCACTCAAATCTGATAGCAGATGTTCGGTATCATATGTAATGAAACTCAGGAAATTAGCGAATGTCTTTGCGACCTTCACAGGTCGAAACAACTACAGATTGAATATGAATTATACCATGAGTTGTTCCATTGTGATGGGTGATAGACTACGAGCTGAGAATTGTCTACTTCAATTTAAAGAGAGGAAAGCTGATGAATTGTCTTAAAAGGAGTTTTTTGGAGGGAAGAACAGAGTTCTGCGATGAGTCTACCAGAAGTGTCTTTTTTTTTTTTTTTCTCTGAAGTAACTGAATCGCCCGGAGTTTTCTGCCTGTTTTCAAAGTGGTTTCGTGGATCATGCAGCGTGATAATTAAGGGCTGCCGCACACCAGGCAATTAGATTAGACGTAGACGTAGACTAGAGGAGATTTGGAATGAACTGTACTCGTGATTTCACCATGCACTTGTGATCAAATTTTATTTTAATTTATTTGTATAATAACCCAGAGTACATTATTTGTATCTATATATAGTGCTTGTAAATACAGATTAAAGTGTACCCATGTACTTGAAAGTGGCCCTATTCTTGTAGCTGTTATATGTCTAATATAGGCTGAGGCGTTATACCACAGGCCGAGGCCGAGGTAGGACGAGGCCGAGGTCACATGTAGGCCGCGGCCCACTACCCTGACAAGAAGGAAGTAGCAAAGTTCTGTTGGAGCAGAATTTTAGGAAAATCTAAATCTGGAGATCCTCAACTATATCCAATTAATAAAAGAGAAAATTAAATTTGGTAACTTTTGATTTGTGTAAGAATTTCCTGTAACTACTTTTATATTTATGTATTTCAGTATTAAACAGTGTTAAGCACTCCATATTGCATGTCATTAGAGCTAAAATTAATCCCTTTCCCTTATTTTCTTCTAAGAAAAAAATCATTTGGTATAATTCCAAGGATTTTGAACGAATTAAAGACATATATCAAGGTACCACTGTATATTCAATTTAAAAACAAGTAATAAAAAAAAAAAAAATTTAAGTCAGTTCCTACTTTATTTTCCCTATATTGCATAAAGTTACTTCTGGTGCCATCTATTGGTAGATATATGCAACTTAAATCTAAAAAAAATAAATAAAATTAATTAATTAAATCTAATTACTGAATTAATATTTGAAAAAACCGACTTAACATTCAGTGTCATCCACTATAAGTTAAAAAAAAATGTATTGGAACTTGAGTGGATGGATAAAAAGTATTTTATGAACGATCAAAAATTTGAACAAGGTATATATAGGGTGAGTGTGAGCTAATAGAAGGAATTGAATAATAATAAAAATTACGAACCAAATCCTGAAGTAAATGCCACCTCCTTTTTCACTTTTTCGTAAACAAAATCGTAATTCTGGGGTTTTACAACGCTCCCTCCTGCCATGAATACCTTAAGGGATCTCAGACTATTTTCTTCTAAAATTAAAGCATCGTTGTATTAATAGATGAACTAGAAATGAGAAGCCATATAGATCAGCAGATCATTTACGAATACCACATCATCTCTAAATTACATGCAAATCTCGATTAAAGTGTGATGACCTGATGAGATTCATGCAAAAGGCTTGATTTTTCAATTACAAATTTTGTTCTAAATAAAAAAATTAAAAATTATAAATTAAAATTATGGATGTGAAATTACATATTGGAAACATATAATAATTTTTGAAATTCTTTTGGTTTCTCTTAAAATTAAAACATTGTTACTCCTAAATTAAAAAAATTGATGAAGTAGAAATGAGAAGTCATATAGATCGATAGATCACTTACAACAATCACACATCATATTACAATAATCACGCGTCTCTGTTGTTGTTGTTGTAACAAATGCCTTTATTGCAAATCAATCCATTACAATAAGGGTCACACACAAATTGAAGGAACAAGCAGAACAAAGCAAACATGCAGCAAGACAGCAGTCGACAATAAGTCGGTCTCACATACCACAAAAAGTCAAAAGTAAATAAAGGGGATAGGCACTTTATTTTAATTCATGTGGCCCCTGGCCTCCCAATACAATTTCAAGACTTATCCTTGGCGCTGAACCTACTTTTTCAGTCCTGGTCATTTCAAAAGATGTTCTGAATTCATTGTTTCAGCTCTACATATTGGGCAAGTGTTCGAGGCTGGGACACCTAAATTGCATACAATAATCACGCATCTATAAATTATATGCAAATGCGGATTAATGTATGCACAAGGTTTGATTTATCAAATATAAATTTTGTGATAGATAAAATAAAATTAAAAGTTACGAATTAAAATTATCGATGTGAAATAACATACTGGGAACATATCCTAATTTTTGAAATTCATCCTCGAAATATTTTCTCCTAGAATTAAAACATTATTATTAACATTATTGTTGTATTGAAACATTAGTATTAACATTATTGTTGTATTAAAACAATAATTTCAACAATAAGTGTTTATGTATTAACATTATTGTTGTATTGAAACATTAGTATTAACATTATTGTTGTATTAAAACAATAATGTTAACAATAAGTGTTTATGTATTGACATTATTATTGTATTAAATGAAAACATTATTGTTGTATTAAATTAAAACATTATTGTTGTATTAAATTAAAACATTATTATTGTATTAAATTAAAACATTATTGTTGTATTAAATTAAAACATTATTGTTGTATTAAATTAAAACATTATTGTTGTATTCAAAGATGAACTAGAAATGAGAAATTGTATAGATCAGTACATAACTTACAACAATCACGAATCTCTAAATTACATAAAAATCTGGGTTAAAGTAAGTACAAGATTCATGTGCAAAGATTGATTTTTCAAATACAAATTTTGTGCTAAATAAAATAACTAAAAGTTATGTATTAAAATGATCGATGTGAAATTGCATACTGGGAACATATCCTAATCTTTGAAGTTCATCCACAATACTAGTTGCCATAAAAATATGCGTTATTTCATATTCGTCCAACATGTCCCAGAAGTAGGTGGGACTTAAGAAATAAGGGCTCCCCTCCAACAAAACCGAAGTACATCCAACGAACAGAAGTCCTGCGAAACAGTTCCATGACACCCAACCAACCTGGAAATGAAAGAAAGCGATTAAATAATTTAACAAATTGAGATTTATTTAATCTAGTATTTAATAAATATATTCGATCATACTTTGAATAACAATTCGGATGCATAAGGATTATATTATTTGATATCATATCATGAAAAATGTCGTTATGTAATAATTATTCTCATATAGTAATAAAAAGGAATAACATGTAATTTTGACAAATAAATTGATAACTTAATATGGATTTAATTTATTTATAATTAATTCAAAAGAAATAATGTAACATAAGGTAAGCAAAAATATATATGCATATACTATTTTGCTCTGGCGCTCAGAGCCACAGGTTTCGGATTCGGATCCAAGCGGTGCCATGGAAGTTCATAGTCGCTCGGAATCCACTTAAAAGCTCTCTTAAGTAAAGTGTTGGGGAATATTAATATACATAATATTAATAATCTAAGTTGGAGAATATTAATAATTGAAGTTTTTCTACAAAGTCCTTTTTAGATACGTTTCACATTTGATCGTATCAATAATGGGAAGTTCAATTGACTCTTACCACACTTCAAGACATTTTGGCACCTTCAGTGGCTATAGCATTGCTAACATCCGGAAGAGAGAGTTGAGGCCAGAAGGATTGGGTCAGTAAAAAACAGACAAGGACGGACCGTACTGGGAAAAGATTGACCATCTTTGGACAGCAAAATTTGGTTGTATATAATCTATTTAATTATTTAAATTAAGTATTGTAAATATGGATAACGATAGCCCTGTTTTAATTTTTCAAATAAGGGACCAACGTCATTAGAGATGACAACTCCCAGCTTTAACTTCTTCACTGATACAAAATATTTGCGTAGTTGTCACAAAACTCTTTATGTAATAGAGAAACATTGTTTTAATTTTTAAACTCTAAGGGAGATATACTAGACAAATTATTCAATAACATGTTTTAGACAGAAAACAAGCAATATAAAAAAAAAAAAAAAATTTAAGTCAATTCCTACTTTTTTTTCACTCTATTGCAAAAAGTCCTTTACAAATAATTTTCATTCATTTCTTTAAGTTTATCTGGCGCCATCTATTGGCAGATATATGCAACTTAAATCTAAAAAAAACTAAAATTAATTAATTAAATTTAATTACTGAATTAATATTTGAAAAAACTGTATTCACATCCAGTGTCATCCACAACAAGTTTAAAAAAATGCATTTGACCTTGAGTGGATGAATAAAAAGTATTTTATGAACGATTGAAAATTAGAACAATATATATATAGGGAGAGAGTGAGCTAATAGAAGGAATTGAAAAAATGTCCTTTTTGTAGACCTGGTATAATTTAAAATTATTTTAATAGCAAAATGTGTTATAATAGTATTTCAATTCAAAGACATACTCACTGGAGAACTTGAAAGCCAAACACTGTCTCTCCCAGTGTCGAAATGCAATACGAAATCTCTAAATACTGGCAGAAGAAACTAAAAGGAAATAGGAATAAATTATTGTTTTTATTTAATGTGAAAATAAATACCTGAAAGTTATGTTGTTTGTTTTTGTTGTTTCTTATCCCACTTGGCTGGCCAAGCCCACGAGCCCATGTGGACTCATGATTGAAGGGGAAGGAAGCAGCTTCTGTTGTGATGGAGCACCCGTAGGTAGAAGCCTGACTTTTGCTCCGTGACGCTCTTACAGTCATGGGAGACCGGGACCTACGGCTTAAAGTGGATTCCGAACCACTACAAACATCCATTATTCGAACCCGAAACCTGTGGCACCGAGCGCCAGAGCGCTAGCCACTCGGCCATTCAGGTCCCAAATTTGCCAACGGCACGCAGTGTTCCCAGGTGGTCACCCACCCAAGTACTGACCGCGCCCAATGATGCTTGACTTCGGCCTGAAAGTTATGAAAGTAATAATAGTATCATTAAAGAAAATTTTTTGAAATTGTACTGTTTTTCATTATTTTATTAATTCAAGAAAAAAAAATTAAACATAATATTCAGAGTTATTTCTGATTTCATTTCTCATTTAAGTAGCTACTTAAAATAATGAACATGTAATAATGTTGAACGTACATATTGAACATGTAACTTTTATCAAGAGCCATAATCCAATCAATGTTCTGTGTAAAGGTTTATCTTCATTAACTTAATTAGAACTAAGCTAAGATTGCTTTCTCTACTTTTAATTATTGATTAATTCTTATAAACTTATGAGTTTTTGATGTTCTTTATGTACACATAATCTGTTTATCTATTCAAGATTCTCTCTCTTTATCTGCAAATAATCTTTTCATCGATACAAAACGCTGTCTCACAATCAACAAAGAATCTTTTTTTTTTTTTTAAATCGGCATTTATGACTTCAGTGTTTATTACCAATTGAATTAAAATATAGTTTTTAAAATAATATCTTTGAGTAGGGTTTTTAATTTTTTGTTAAAATGGAAAATAAGTTCTCTGTAAACTGATTAAAAACACTGAAAAATGAATGTAGAACAGGGGTGACCCCGCGGCGTACCTTGAATATTTTTGCGGTCCATGAGATTTATCACACTTTTACAAAATATATTTATTTTATAATGGCCAAAGTAGTGAATACCAATGTATTAAAAAAATACATTCTGTGGGCATCCATATATTGAAAAGTTAACTGTCGAATTATGAGAAAAAATTTACTTTGATTTTAAAATAATATTCTTGCGAATATATGACAGATATGGCCTGATATATGACAGATATGAATTTACAGTAATGAGTTCGCAGAATAATTAAATTATATTCTGCGAACTCATGAGGCGCACGGATCTTGAAATATCTAATATAGCAGGGTCTATGTTTCACTTTAAGGGATCTCAGTGACATCAGTGACCATCCCTAGATAAGCACAGTTGTTTGTTGATAGCAGAGCAAACCAGACTGTTAGTTGAAGTTGTTAGTGCTTTTGGTTCAACTTACCCTCGTTTTTCGAAAATGAAATTGACCCAACACAAAGCACGCTCCAGCATAACGGTCGCTACCCAAATTGAGATCGATTTGCAAAAGCTGAGTGAAAGAGAGGAGAAACAAATATTGCACTAGTAAAATAAGTATTCTTTAATGATTTCATTTTTATATTTCATTTATATTTATATATTTTTTACATTTCATTTTTAGGCTTCTATATTTCTTTACAGTGCGCGCTTAGTATCATTATTATTATATTGTGTATGTTCACATAGAACATACACAATGTAGAATAGTAGTGAACACAATAATAATAACTCATTTTGTTTCAATTTTTCTTTCCAAAAAATATCTAAAGGGGATCTAAATCCAATATGGGTATATATAATTTTATATGCGGCCGCGGAGTTATGATGCGTTTGAAAAGTGACCCGCAAGATCATTTGGGTTGGACACCCCTGATGTAGAGTCCTCAAACTTCACCACGTTGTTAGCATTGCTTTCACAAGGTTCACCAAAGTTAGAAAACTTTATCCTAATTCTCATCAAGCTTTTCTGCAATCGTTAATAATTAAATACTCACCCCTAACCCATGCACAATCGCCTTTGGTAATCCTGTTGTCCCAGATGTATAATTAATGAAAACTGGGTGGTCAAATGTCACTTGCTCAAACTGCATGGGAGGAACGGAGCCGTCTGCTTCTGATCCAAGTTGCAAAAAATCGTCCAGAAAGCAACTGAAGAGGGAAAATATCGTGAAGTATTTAGATATAAAGTAATGCAACTTATAATTATAAAAAAGTTTTAAAAACTTATTAAAAAATATACATGTAGATCTGAAGTTTGTAAATGTATTTTTTAGTTAAACGATGTTAAATGACTCCTAAAATTTATTTAACAAATGAATGTTTCTATTTTATTACATTAGAACTAATATGTTCAACAAAATGTGAGAATTTATTAAAATGATTTACTTTTATAAATGCATTTGTTTAAATGAATTATAAAAAGTAAATCACTTGATATCTTAAAGTGGCTTTTTAATATAATTCAAATAAAATGAGAAAATAATAAACTTCAACAGAAAAAAGATTACCTATTTTTAATGTCACTAATGTCTTTAAAACGAGATTCTTGCGTAGAGGGTACAATGATAATTTTCTTTAATGTAGGTAACCCTAAAAGAAAAAAAATATCAAACGACCCTCTGATGTTGTTGCACTTTTTTATCTGATAATCAATTTGACAAATTTTGTGATCATATTGTTCTCCAATTATTCTATACAAATATTTAATTAGATTAATTCTGCTTCAATAGAAGGCGATGTATGGTCGAAATTCTTCTTTTGCCTGTCTGTCACTAAAATGTCAAGAGTTTACTGGTGTTTTTGTTTTTGAGCCTCAATACTAAGGCAGCTCCCTTCTTTAAACTTTCTAACGAATAAGGAGATATATCTTCTCTACATATATAAGTATATCAACCAACCAAGGCGCCCCATTTACATTTACTTTCATTTTTCTATCTTCTTTTTTACCCCCTTTTTGCATAGAAACTACAGATATCAGTGTTTTCGTATTTTGAAATCATTAATTATGTTCAATTGTTCTGACAGTTTGTTCATGTTATCGTCTTGCATTATAACTTGTCGGTTATGTTTGCATTTATTTCTTCTCGTTTGATTAATTCTTCAGATGTATTTTTGATTTTTACTAGAGTATTTACAGGAGTTCGATTCATGAGTTCGGTTTGGTATTGCACAATCTATTTATTTGATCCTCGTTTTACAGTAGACGGGCGATATTTCTCCGTTCCAGGTGTTTCAACTGACTGGCATTTAATAGGACCTCGAGTCTGAAGCTATTTTTGATAATGTGAAGGATTCCTACTTGGCTATCTAGCTAAGAAAGTACTCTGCCTGAATAGATTCGTACTAGCAACATTGCAGAAATCTGTTTTTTCTCGTTGCCTAGTCCATAATGATGGTATCCTCGTTTTCCTGTGAGGTATCGGACCTGAACTGTTTTTTTTTTAAAATTTCTTTCGTTCTTCTTACTCAAACAATTGCATTCCTGGGCAAGCCTGAATTCGTCACTATCTGACCCTTTTTTCGATATTGTCTTTTATGACTAGTTGTCGACAAATAAGTCCAGAAGAAATATTAATAGCTATTGAATTTTGCCAGATTCTTAGCTATGTCAGCACCTGGAGATAATCTTTCAGATCTAAAAGCAGGCGACTAAATTGATTTGTAATAAATATATAAACTTCATGAATCACTCAATACTTATGAAGGTGTAATATTTAATTTATGTTGTTTAGATAGAAATAGAAGTAACAGTAAAAAATGATCAGAAATAGTTTCCATCAAACATATGATTGCAAAATTCCTTGGTTACTTTCTTCCAAATACTATTAAAATAGTATATAAAATAGAGTATATTTCTTATTGAATAAAATATGAACTTGTTTGTTTCATCTAAAAAAGAATAGCATTTTGTAATAGCATTTCGATAGAATACAAAGAGAAGCCACATAAAAAAAATTAGAATTTTTCCACATTTTGCCTACTAATTTCAAGTATTGTATGTGTCATTTAAGCATTTTGTACAATGTGTGTATATCTTATATTGTTGGTAATATCTATAAAGTATATCTATGTCTAGCTGGTAATATCTGTGTAGAATAATAGTTCATTCAATGTGTTCTGTTTCCAGTATGATTGAAAGCAATATAACTTTTTTTAATATCCACCACTCAAAAATCTCAAACAACTGTCCTTCACAAAATAAACAAATAAATAAAAAAAAAAAATGTATCCACCGAATGATTATATAATTAAAAAAATTAACAACTTTTGTCTTAATGCGATTAAAAATTATCCCGACTTTCTAACAATGATGCTTTTTATTTATTATTTTTGTGATAAAATAAAAAAAAATACCTTCTGCGATTTCCAGAATTTTTGGCAGCATATCAATTTGTTTCTGCTGGTGAACTATTTGGTCTATGGTCAAAAATACTTTGGCTTCAACTTGCTTGAATCTGTTAATAACAGCCTAATATAAAAGAATATAATTGAATGAATTAATAATTTTTTCCTTTAAAATTTATTTGCAATATATTATCATCATAAATCATTTATGCATTTTAACAAAATAATTTATTTTTGATTAAATAAATAAAGAGGAATTTCATCTTTTTCGACACTTTTATTGAGATTTTTACTGAAAAATTCGTAACAAAATTTAGTGTTTAATTAAAAATTTGATTTATAAATTAGTTAAGTTGATGCTTAAATAAATGTTGTTTTTAATTTAGGAAAAGCCTAGAATTTTATTTATATTTTATAAAGAAACTGGATTTAATTTAATTTTTTTTACAAATTGCTAATTATTACCAGCGTAAAAACAATTAAAATTTTATCAAAATGATAATGACAAAAAAAAAATCATGTTGACAGTTACCAATATCAATGAAATTTAAATTTATATGTAATATGCATGTTTTTTATTACAAACTTCAATAAATTTATACTTCAGTTAATTTATAAAAAAATTAAAACCTTCATCTTCTACAGTCAAGAATGATTTTACACGTACCACGTGTATGATTTTACAGGTACAAAAGACTTTGTACGTATAATAATATCCTAGTTAAAATTTAAGACTTACTTACACACTACATCTTTTTATGAGAAAGTACTATGTAATTAACACATTTGTATCATAAGAGGATATACTATATTTCCTGACCATTATAGTTGAAGCCCTTATATGCATGCTAATGAAAAGTCACAATTACAAATGGATTAAAGTATTTTTATTGATAAAAGTAATTCTAAAAAAGTGATAAAAATAGAAGGTTTTGATTAGAATAATAGTGTAAAAAAATGTTTATATCAAAAATTTAAAAAAATACATTTTATCAATGTGATAATTGCCTTGTGG